ACACAAATGACTCATTTGAACTGAATCTTGTTAAATGATCTGCAAATGACATTCATTATCACAGTGAACACAAACGACTCATTTGAACTGAATCTTGCTAAACGATGTGCAAATAACACGTTCATTTTCACAGTGAAAACAAATGACTCTTTTGAACTGAATCTTTTAAACGATCAGAAGTGTTCATTTGTTATCTAGCACTCATACATATTTCAGTTCTAAAAACAGAAGTTTGGAAGTAAAACACTGATTCACATGTTCCTAAAGAACACATTTGACTGAATTAAATGAAAAATAAATCGCACTTTTTAACGACCTGAAAACAAAGCGATTCACTACACTGAACTGAACTAAGATCAAATCATTTGACAGATTCTCAGATCTGATTTGACACCGTTTTAGGATGCCGAAGTCCTAGTTGTTTCTGCAGAAGACGCCAGCGATCACGCAAGGAAAAATAAGGCCAAAAATAAAATATCATTACCTAATAATTTGCATGCAGGCACAATTACAGCGGTGCCGGTGTGTTGAAGATAGTGTTCTCTCATTAGCATGCTAATGTGCAAACAGCAGGGTGTGTTGGATCTTCAACATTTTATGATTCACCTCATTACACATTAATGAGATTTAAAAGTGAAGGCAAAATAAAAATAACTTGAATGTGCGAAGTCATCCGTCAGGTGAGTCGCTCCAGAGATTCAACACACTCTTCATAATAAAGTGCACTGATGACAGTCAGATTAAGAACATATAGTAATAATAATATTATATACTATAACATAAATTGCAACATTCTTAGGGATGGGCAACGATTAATCGCGATTAATCGCATCCAAAATAAAAGTTTGTGTTTACATAATATATGTTTGTGTAGTGTGTATAATTAATTTGTATATATAAATACACACACAAAAGAAATATGTGCATGTATATATTTTATATATATTTATTCACAATTAATATTATATATAAATATAAATATTTGATATATTAATAACACATTTATCTTAAATATATACATGCATGTGTGTGTATTTATATATACAAATGAATTATACACAGTACACACACATATATTATGTAAACACAAACTTTTATTTTGGATGCGATTAATCGCGATTAATCGTTGCCCATCCCTAATTAATAATATGATATAATATAATTAAAATTAATAAAAAAATATTTATAATACTGCAATTACAATATATATATATATATATATATATATATATATATATATATATATTCTGTAATTGCAATATTGTAAATATTATAAACTTAAAGTCCATTAATATATATATATATATATATAGAAAGAGATAGAGAGAGAGCGAGAGAGTTAATATATTATTAAATAATTTATTATTTAATAAATAATAAATATTTAACAATGTATTAAGATATTTGAAAAATGATATGATATATTATATGTGATATGATATGTGTCTTACCCTGGTGAGGTGAATGACCCCCAGAGACGTGACCGAACAGCCCATGAACCCCACGAACTGCAGCTCGGGACAGTTCTCCGCGAACGCCTGCACGGATCTGTCCGTCACCTGGAACACACACACATCAGACATCATACACTGACATGTCTAACACACACCTGGACATCAGGCACACAGTACATCATCACATGTGTGTGTATATCATTAACATGTATATCTGTGAGACGGGTAAACCTGTGGAATAACTGTTATAAGGAATTAAAACTCTATAAAAGATAAAGGTGAAGGTGATAATAATAATTATGTATCAAGGGATGGCATAATAATCTTTTTCGGTTATTACGTACACATTTTTTTTTTCTGTACTGTGGAAAATTATCTGTGAGTTGTTGAATTGAAAAAAATTGAATTTGAATTGAATTGGTGGATTTATTGTTGACTAAAACGATTAAAAATTGTTTTGCCTAACAGAAATAAAGCTCAAATTAAAAATATATAAATATCAGATGAATAATAACTAAAACAACACAAAAAAGCTAAGTAGAAATGAACAAGGGTCATTTGATGTATTGATTAAAAAAACATGAAACTATGATATTATTGATATATTTTACCAAGATGATCATCCTTGATTTACAGCAACTAAAAAGGAAAATCATTTCAGAAGCAGCAAAATATTATTATTTCAATGAAAAGATTTATAATAAAGTGCACTGATGACTACGTATAAGATTAAGAACATTAATTAAGTACTTTAAGTTATAATACATATATTCTAATTGCAATATTATAATATGTATTTATTAATAATATAATATAACATAATAATTGAGATGAATTAAACCTATTCATAAATTTTTAGTCATATATCAATATTGGGCTGTGCAAAAATTAATTGCGATTAATCGCATCCAAAATAAAAGTCTGTGTTTACATAATATATTTGTGTGTGCTGTATATAATTATTTTGTGTATATAAATACCTATGCATGCATGTATATATTTAAGAATTATTTGCGCTTAAATTCTGTATATATATATAAATATATAATCTATATTATATAAATATAAATATTTTATATATGAGTAACACATTTTCTTAAATATATACATGCATGTGTGTGTGTTTATATATTCAAAATAATTACACAGCACACACAAATATATTATGTAAACACAGACTTTTATTTTGGATGCAATTCATCGCAATTAATTTTTGCACAGCCCTAATCAATATTTATAAATTGCAATTACATCATGGAAAAAAAAAAGTTCAGTAATATAGTAATACACGGCCATAATGTATTGTATTATATTATAATATACAACATTGCACTGAATTATTAAACTGATTCAAAACTTTTCTTTCAATCTCACATCCAATCAAGTTAGTGTCCTCACTTTGACCTCTGACCTTATGCAAAAACAAGATGCATTAAATCAAATCCCCCCAACAATCAAATCAACAATCGGAAGCAAATCAAATCTAGTGGCAGAACAAATTTAATAAGTGGAGGATAATTTCAGCGGGCCGGCCGGTCTCGGGTCAGAGGTCAGCCGCTGCCCATAACATTTAACTTGGGACTTAAAAAGGATTATTCTGGCAGAGCTTTGCTGGCACAGTCCGTAAAGCCCTTACACACACACACACACACACACACACACACACTGAGAGATGTGGAGAACAGATTACTTCCGCACGGATACATCATGCGGGTTGGCTAACTTCTGTGTTAAAGGTCATCGGGCGAATCCGAGTAAGATGGAGAACTCTCTCTCTCTCTCACACACACACACACTCACGGAGAAGTCTGGGTGAGGAATTACGCTCGTTTATCTCAAACACAGAGTGTCCGTCAGGTCTCGACTCGTTCTCAGGCCTGCAACGCTGACGTCAGGGTTCCTGCATCTGTATCTCGCTGACCTCTGCCACGACACTCATCCATCAGGAATAACACTTTACATTTCACTTAATATTCAACAATATTATTGATCTGCCTGCATTGACACTATTATACATCAGCTGGACGATGACATCACTGTTTTCTCATATATATATATATATATATATGAACTTTTTACCACAAAAATGAAGCGTCACTGTCTGAACTTACTTAAAGGGGGCGTTGATTATGATTCACTTTTCTAACAGTAGTGAGTGTGTAATGTTGCTGTTTGAGCATAAACAACATCTGCAAAGTTACAACACTCAAAGATCAAAGTGAAAGAAGAGATTTGCTTTAACAGAAATCGCTTTTTAAGGACTACAACAGACGGCTGGTAGAACTACACGAGCTTCCTCCCGGGTTAGTGACATCACCAACCCTAAACTGGACTGTGATGCTATTTCCATCTAGAAACAAACTTAATTACATTATTATCTCTGTAAAAATGCTTTGAAACACTGTGAATATCTATCGAGACACGGGACTTCACAAACCCAGCTCGTCCTCGTCACATTTATTTATTATTTATTTTTATTTGCCCTTTATTTAACCAGATAAAACTATATATTTTAAAAAAAAAAGAAAGAGAGGAAAAAAACTAATCACCATGAGATTAAAACTTTTAAAAAAATATATAAAAAATATTTACTACAAATTGTTTCTACTATTAACAACTCACTAAGCAAAGACCCAAACATATTCATGGACCTTTCCTTCTTTGATTCATTTATTCGATTCATTCATTGATCCATTCATTTATTCACTCATTCATTGATTCATTCATTCACTGATTCATTCATTGATTAATTAATTCATTCATTCGATTCATTCATTCATTTGGAAAATGAATGAATGAATCAATCAATCAATACAAAAAGAATGAAGAAATGAAGAAATAAATACACATGAATGAATGAGAGTAACTTTAACTGAGTTAATCGATTTATTGATTCATTCATTCACTGATTCATTCATTGATTAATTAATTAATTCATTCTATTCATTCATTCATTCGATTCATTCATTCATTTTCCAAATGAATGAATGAATGAATCAGTGAATGAATTAATCAATAAATCGATTAACTCAGTTAAAGTTATTCTCATTCATTCATATTTATTTCTTCATTTCTTTATTCTTTTTGTATTGATTTTAATTCATTCATTCGATTCATTCATTCATTTGGAAAAAAGAATGAAGAAATGAAGAAATAAATACAAATGAATGAATGAGAGTAACTTTAACTGAGTGACCTCATAAGGCCGCAGTGGTCAGTCAGTAATGTGGATCAGAGCCACTTCTGGTTTTAATGTTTTGGAACATGAAGTGAGTTCAGAAACAGACGTGAATAAACGCCGGCCAATATTCAGCGTGTCCAAGCGGCCGGAGCAATAACTCACACCGCTCCACTCCTGCGCTTTTATTTCCATCTCATCAAAATTCCTCCATGATGACAATGATCATTTGTTTGAATGGAAACATGTCCAAGTCATACTTTACACTGAAGAAAATCGAAACATAACGACGAGAAATCATAGTGTGCATTATTATCAGGACACATTATTGACTTTCTTTGTTTTTAATAATATATTGTTGTACAATTTTCCATCAGCATAAATAAATGAACACACTATATTGTATACATTAATAAACAAATGGATGAATAAACGAATGGACATATAAACAAGTAAATTATCCATTACAATAGTGAGATTCAAAGGGATACTCTTAAACGAGATTTAAAGGGATATTTAGGAGAATATCAGTAACCAGACAGTTTCAAGTCTCAGGAAAAAAATATACTATGGAAGTCAATGAGACTACACTGTAAAACAAATATTGATGGTTTAACTTAAAAAAGTAAGTAACCTGGTTGCCTTAAAATTTTAAGTTGATTGAACTGGAAAAAGTGAGTTAATACAATGAAGGAGATTAATTTAATCATCAGAAACTCAAAATTATATGTTATCTGAACTAAATAAGTTGATTTGACAAAAGAAAAAAATGTTGTGATTACTACACTGTAAAAAAATATTGTTGGTTTAACTTAAAAAGTAAGTAACCTGGTTGCCTTAAAATTTTAAGTTGATTGAACTGGAAAAAGTGAGTCAATGAAGGAGATTAGACCCTTTGAAGATTATTGCTGAAGTAAAAAAATTAAAATAAGTAAATCCAAAAAAAATTATATAGGTATAAGTTTATGAAAATTATTTATAAAAAATATTTTATATAAAATATATATTTTATAAATCAGGTTGAACTCAAAACTGCCATAAATCTAAATAGGTTGTGTTCCAAATGTGAGGATGATATCTCAAAAAATGAGCTTTGGGTAACAGTTTGTTTGGGTGTAGTAACATATTTTCCCCATTGGGTGCCAGTAAAACCCCACTGGAGCTCACAGTGATTGGATTTGAGTTTGCAGTTTTTCTCTCTCAGTATTACAAACACACACACACATATCTTTTTATAACACACATACAGTACTAACCACGCTCTGACATCCATACCAACACACCCACACAAATATTGTTGCATAATTTATCCTGTTGGCTCTATAGTATGCCGAAGCAGAAAACAGGAATAAAGCGATATTTGTTTTATAGGCCAAACTTTAAAAAAAAATTACACCATCTGATAAAAAAATAGTAAAAAATAAAATTTTGAAGCCTTGCCATCAGAATGAAAGCCTCTTAACAAAGACTGCATAATTTTATAGTTAACTGAACCAGTGATTAAAAATGGCAGTTTTAATGGGTTTCAATGGGGACGTTTTTGTCCAAAAGGTGCTGAGAGGGAGCTAATGCAAAAAATATTTTTTTAAGAAAATGACAAACCTAGTAGTGTGTGTTTAATAAAAATACACACCTGTGCCAAGTTTTTTGCCGTTAGCTTTAACACAGGCAAAGTGATCAAAAAAACAAAACTGAAAAGGACAAAAATGTCCATAAGGATGCACAAGGGTTAATTACTAATATCTTCATTTGTGTTCGGAAGATGAACGAATCTTGACGGGGTTGAACAACATGAGGGAGAGTGATTACTGATATTAAACTGATATTTAAAAATGCATTTAGTTAAAATTAATTAAATTTAGATTATAGTTAAAATAATTTTGGTTATACGCTATTATATTAATTGAATTTAGAATAACAGGTTATA